GGCAGATGACGTAGAACATCTTAGTTTAGATGTGATGCAAGAGAAGAGCGTAATGCCCATGATGACTGTCGTAGGTTTAAAGTTACCAAAAGTTGAGTTAAGTTATTTCGATGAACGACCACGAGGTAAGCGGAAGTTTTTAAGGGAGTTTGAGACCTATTTAGAAACAAGTGTCATGGATGTTAATCAACGCATGGCTTATTTAATACACCATCGTGGGGGTAGGGCGAAAACTGTCATTGAGGGGTGTGTCATGTTGGATGCCTCTGCGGGCTATAAGAAGGACAAGGAAATTCTAAAACGGCTGTTTGGACAGGCAAATGTAATTGCTCGAGAAACTTTAGAAGACTTATTAAAAGCTGCAAATTTCGAATACAATGACTGGGAGCAGCTATCAAACCTAGCTATAAGAATGGAAAATTGTGTCATGGTCTTGGGACAGATGAAGTATACAGCCGACGCAAATTCTTTAATTACTGTAGAGAGAGAATAGTAGGGCTTTACCTCAGTCAATGCAAGCTCAGTGGGTGGGCTTGGTGGATAAATTGGCTGAAGACGATAGAGAGCAGACGTTTGCCGAGTTCACCAAGTTTATATAATCTCGTGCGAGAGTAGCTAGTAGAAGATTTGGACGGCTGGAGAGTCGCACGAAAAAGGGTCATAACGTGAAGGTGAATTGCCACCTGCAATCGGGGCAGTGGAGTGGTCCGACCGTAAAAACTAAAAGCAGTATGTGTTCTGATGACCACAATGTTTATAAATGATCATGATGTTTAGGGCTCACAGTTCAAGATCGATGGTCTTACTTAAAGGCCAAAGGCATCTGATTTGTATGTCTTAGGCAAGGAAATCAAGTTAGTGAATGTAAACTGACAAAGCACTGTAACGTTAATAAGTGTGAGAAAAAACACCAATCTGTTGCACAACGATTAGAAAACCAACGGCGCAAACGATAAACCTGGTACCTAGAATAGTTGCGGTTTTACTAAATCGCTAAACAGTCAAATGTGTTTAGGAGTGAGTTCTGTACGGTTGAGACCAGGAGGTGCCAAAATTGTGAGTTATGCTCTGTTTGATAATGGTTCTGATGTGACGTTGATTAGGTCAGTCTGTTTCCGGCCTCACGGGCTAAAGGAAAACCAAGCGTCATTGGTAGTTCAGACTGTGGGTAGTAATAGAACAACGAAGGTCAAGAATGCGCACTTTGAGGTATATTCTTTAGATCGGTCTGAACACGTTATGATTGAAATGGTAGAAATCTACCCGAACAGTCATAGTTTGAACTCCATACGAACTGCAACACCAAGCGATAAAGATTAAATGACCATGCTCCAACGACAACTAACAGAACTGGCGAATTGACTAGCTGGATTACAAGCGACTATAACCATGGTGCAATAAAATCGACACAGATCACCGGTTAGGCGAAGATCCCTTTTGAGACAACATTCGCCGTCGCCTAAAAAAGCTACTGGAATCTGCCAATACCACCGAAAATACGGTTCAAAAGCTTAACGTTGCACACGATCATGAAAGTTTACTCCAAACAACAACGAGAATTCGGGAAACGGGCCAGTCAGACAGTAGTGGCGGCGCCTGTTACTGACAGCCTTTTTCACATCCGGGATCGTATTTCTGGCTCGGACATTTTAGTCGACAAAGGAGCAGAAATCAGCATTGTCCCACTTCAGCTCTCACGACGACGGCACAGGACTGAGGATAGCATCTTATTACGATTTACTAGTCTCTATTTTACCTCTGTCGTCGTTAATATACCTGGGTTTCCGCCTAGAGGTATTGATGATCAACCAGTTGCAGATGATGACAGCTATGCACTAAAATTATGCACTACCAACGCCTCCCCATAAAACCCCTGGATAACTACTGAGCACATAAATATATCCATGAGACTGGAAAGGAATGGTTACATTGAAAGTTTAATGGCACCAACGTAAGAAAAAACTAACCGTTTTCGCTTATTTAACTAATCAGTACGAGAATACCCTCGACGATTACTACATTATCTGGTTGAAGCGACGTTTACTTAGTATCTCCGCAAACAATAACCTGTTTCGTTTAATCGTAATCATAATGTTGTTATAATAATTCATGTTTCGTAACTATCAACAGCGTTACTGTCCTGCAGCTGACCAAAAAAACGATATTAATTCTGTATGATTCTGAACAGATAACTTGACTGTAGAGTACCTGCAGTACACTCTCCTTCCAATCCGCCGCATGCAAAACTAAAAAGAAAGTGCTAAAGCACTCATGGAGGCTGAAAGTGCTGGCAACGTGCTTCGGTGAATGAACGTTACAAACTTGTTAAACCTTAACGCAACTTCATTCATATATTCGGAGAAAATTATTCAACTCTTACATAACTGGTTCAACTGAAATACGTATTCAATTACTCTAGTGTAAATTTACCGACTATTCAGCTACAGAAATCATCACTTGGTGAAAAACTTTGCAATCCGCTAGCGAATATTAACGTACTCAACGCTAAAATTCAGCATGAAAGCCTCACTCATGAGGCACATAAACTTGGCCCGTATCTAATAAGGATTATGAGCACTTCATGACAACTCTTGCAGACTGTTGTAATAACGTGGTGAACACAATATCTACAGCTGGGCTATTGCTCACAAAAGTATATAAGTCTCGATTAGTTGATCTTCTGGAGAAGCAGAATTTAGTGCTGTCTCCCAGATAATTGTGCAGAAATTGTCATTATGGATCGCCATGAAAATGCTACCAAATTATCCTCAGCATTATCGGATGCTTCTAAATTCTCTAGTGAAACCATCCAAAAGGATGTAAGTGGAAAAATGGACCAGATGTTATTTGAAATTCCAAAGAGGATGAAAGATGAGTTTATTGTCAACTGCGACCTCTATGAACATTCCAGACCATCGGATTCATCTGTTACGACACTATACGGGCTGCCGAAATTTCATAAGAACAATGTCCTCATACGTTCCATATTTGAGATGAATAGCTCTTTGTATTATTTGATTGTTAAATGGTTAGCTGATATTGTAAGACCCGTCAGAAATCACATCAATAGTTACAACTCTCATGATTTGTTTGATTCTTTCGGCTCAGAAATATCAACGTAAATGGTAGAAAAATGATCTCGGTGGATGTCAATTCTTTATTTGCAAATGTCCCACGCACAGAATCTATGAGCTTTTATGTGACAATATTGAAGTAACAACTTTGGTATGTGTATATCAAAACGTAATCTAAAAGGGCGACTCCTAAGAAGTACCTTCAATAGGCAATTCAGATTTAATATTGATATTTACGGACAAAATGATTGGGTTGCAATGAGTTCACCATTGGGCTCACTTTTGACTGAACGTTTCAAGAGCAATCTGGAAAATAAGGTGCTTAAACCAATAATTGAGAGACGTGATTCACATAAGAGATATATGTATGATAATCTCATTATTTGTGGAGAAGATATGAACGTGAATGAAGTTTTGAATCGAATTAATAAATGTCACCACTCAATTCAATACGCATTTTCAGCTGAGGTGAACGAGGATTTTGATTATCTTGATGTCAGGTTGAAAAGAAGGTCAGGCGGTTTCCTAATGTGATCTATAAATAAGAAGCCAACCTAGAATGTCAGCATACGAACTTTCATATATCAGTCAGATTGAGCATAAAGGGAATAAGTTCCAATAACGCAATAGATGACATGGCCATAAATCGTGTTGTCTTAATTCTTTTATTCAGATGGCATATATCGTTCTGTTTCTAGCCTAAGTTTGTTTTCCATCATATGTTGATGATTATCACAAGTTCAACACAGGAGTACTCAGATCATGTCTATACATAAGCTTCCTCCTTTAAAATAATTCACACCATCAAATGAACAAGATCCAAGGTAGACAAAATCGAAAAATTGTTCGCTGTTGAGGCTTTGGTGATCCACCTATTCATGACCGAACTCTGTGTGCAAAAATGATGCGTCCGAAGTTTCATCCTTCGCTGATCCTGATTCCCTTCTGTAGTATGTTCTATTCGAGTTTTGCAATTTTAAACCGAAATCAGTCATTAATATACTTTAAAAATTTTCATGATTATTATTCAGTTGTTTTGTTCTTCGTTATTCTTCTTATCTGTCAGGTGAACAATCATCCTTCGTTATTTTGACCCACAAATTATTTTCATCTATCTATTACTCTCTAATTCCCTGATTATTACGTCACCTCATTCTTTAATCACATCGCGATGCAACTTTTACCATCTTTTTGTAAACATAGATATTGAATAAACAAACAAAAATACGAATGTACAGCTTAAGTGGTTTTGTAGAAAAGAAACTTTTCTTCACTGACTCATCGTTACTTCTATTCAACGACACATAACTCTTGTTAAGTACTATTTCCGTCCATTCGATCGAATGATCATCTTCCAAAGCAGTCGACTTTCCACTACTCTGCTTGAGCTACAACTCAATTTTAATAACTCGTGCAGCTCAATCCTATTCTCACCACTCACACAAATCTGTAAAACGTTATCGAATTTTATTGGTTTATTCCACTGTCCGAGAATGCTAAACTGGCTTCCAATTACCCAACAGTCACCATCGAAATTGTCAAAAATGTTTGTAATATCTGTTCAATATGAACTTGCGTGGGTACATTCAACTAGGTAGAATATCAACTTTTACTGTAGACAATCATCTGCAGTTTGTCAAGATAGGCTGAATAAGAAGAATGGTTCAGCTAAATCCATATAGTCCTATATGAATCATTGAGTAGTTACATGACTATATTGTTATGTGGTGAATGTGAATTTGGAACATGAAAGTCAAGAAAATTTTCTGTGTACTTAATTACTATTTACTCTGGTAACACAATTTTTGAACGCGATCTGACATATGAAAATTGCTTGATCGCGACTCGTAAATGATTCCTGGAAATTCTGAAACTCCTATTAACCACCAAGATGATCACAGAGTGTCTTGAAAAATAACAAATCGGTAACGACAGAAAAACTTGTATTCATTCAAGTAAGGTGTAAAAGCATAATCGTGATAATTTAACAAATAAAGTGGATTATTGAAGAGTAAGCAAATAATTCCATAGTAATGTGCTTGGTATTCGAGTGCATCAAAATAAGGTTACAGTATGTGTTGCAGTATTCTCGAAATTTTACTTGATTGTAAGTGCAACATATCAACATTAGAACGACTCAAAGAACAAGAAAAAGAAGAAGAAGAAGAAGAGCAATAGAACACTTGTTAAATCAGTTATGGAAACGATTTCCGAACGAAATTAACCAAATAATTCACAATGATTATCATCATCATTTTGAAACGTGACTTCAACAACTTTCGACCATCATCTAGACTAAATAAAATCATGCATGTAAATTTATTATAATCATGCGAAAGAATCACAGTTATAAAGTGGTATCTGATTCGTGTAATCAATAACGAATATGTTAAATCATTTATCGTTTCAACACAAATGATCACAATTAAATTTATTTACCAACTGGACAAACTGAAATAGAATTCACCGTAAATTATCCGAATTCAAACGAAATAATCAAGATTTTCATTTGATTGCGTTGTCGAACTCTCCTCGGTGTCTTTCACTGTTTATTCAAAAATAATAAACAGACATTGGGATTTTGGCTTATGACGGAATTCAAGATGTGATTTCCAACCGCGTTAGTGATCGCCACAATTATGATCAACTTGTGTTTGACACTTGCATCAATCAAAATCATTAGTAAATTCATTTTCCATATTATATATAACTGATAATTACACGAAAGTATTTGGTCGATGAAACATATTTAATTGACTCACAATTCACACTTTTGTGTTTCGTCGGATAACTTCATTGACAATATTTGTTAGAAGACGATGTTTCACTAAAATGTTTCCAAACAAACACTGAGTGACTCATTTTAAAGTGTAATGAGTGATGTAATTTCACCGAACAATTTCGCAAAATGTTTTATGATATATTGAATTGTAATGTGTGACTTGTGTTTCATTGAATGGTACATTTAGATACTTTACTTTGAGTACGTTATTCAGTGAACATACAAACCAGTTTTGAATAACAATCCAACGCTTACATAAACACTACACGTTTCACAAGCGAACTGTTTATTGGGTCAAATTTATCCTCAAAAAAAATTTGATTGAGTATAACGTACATAAATTTATATTGTAATTCTTCATAACTTCGTATATCTCGATAACCAATGTAGACAATCGGAAAATATCTGGAAAATATCAAGAGATATTCATATTTGAAAATCAAAAGCATAATCATATATTCCACTTAAATCTACTCTCTACCAAATAATGGAATCAGTATAACAGATTGAACAACGTTACCATTTGGGAAATGTTTACCAAAAGTTGAGAAATATTGGGACGATAACTGTAAGGCTATATAGTCTGAAAAATATACATGAAAGTAAATTTCACCTACAAATAGTTCAGCCTATCATGATATGTTCATTTTCAAATTCACAAAATGTTACACATAATTATTATATACAACCACATCAGTTTGATGAGCTTGAAATAAATTTGACAAAGGAAGTAAAATATTAAAATTAAAATATAATTAATAGTTTCACATTTAAAATTTATCAACAAAATAGATTTTGTGAAAGTACCAAGTGAACGGTGTAAAGCTGTATTTATTACTAAACCTATTACAATAACCACTAAAAAACTGCCAATATTGTGGCCCCTTCTACCCGAATTCCGCCTATCATGCTGTACCAAAATGATCAGTTCGAATTCACAAACGGTTTCACAAAGAAATTGTAAAGCGTAGTATCAAAGACTCTCTTAAATTTGTGGATAGCATAAAAACTCTATCGGTGATATAATTAGATGTATTGTCTTTATTCAGTATCATTCCACTATTGGAAACATTGTATTTGATTTGTAGTGAACTAATAGAGAGCCATATACAAACTTTAATTTTCGTATCTGCAATGAAACATTTAGCTCTTAATTGTCTGAAAATGTCCAAGTCCTAATTAACAATGTTCATGCTATCCAAAGTGGCATAAATGCACTCACAGGATGAAAATCTCATGGATCCAGGATCATCAAGGCATCCGTCAAGACAAAGAAGGAGGGAATACAGTAAATGCTATCCAATTTTATGCACCGAAAATTATGGAGATGACAACGATAAAGATCAGTTTTACGAGACACTGCAAACGATCATGGCGAAGTGCCCAACAAACGAACTGACAATCCCGATGGGAGATCTAAATGTCAGTGTCGGAATGGACAATAACCGTTTTGACGATATCATGAGACGACAGGGACTGAATGATAGAATAGAATGTTCAATCGACAAACCGGTTATGGATGGCAGAATATTCTCACATAAACACGTACACAAAGCCACATGGGTCTCATCGGATCACACCACAGAGAACCAGATAGATCATATTTGCATCAGCAAAACACTCGCAAGGTTAATGGAAGACGTGAGAAGCAGGAGAGGTACTGACAAAGCTTCAAATCACCACTAGCTGGTTGTAGACAAGATAAAACTGAAGCCAAAAGAACATTGGACAACTGGAAAAAACGGCATTAAGAAGACTCAATATAGCCTTCATTCCACAGACTGACAAATTTAACCAGTTCAAAATAGCTCTCAACAATAGGTTCCAAGCCCTACGGGATTCACCGAAACAAGAGGAGACTACTATGGAGAACGACTGGAAAGTGTTCAAAGAGGCACTTACTGCAACGTGTCGAGAGTTGCTGGCCGCAACCTACATTATCAATCATAAGGAGTGAATCTTCATGACGACTGTGGACGAGATTCAAGAAGGAAAGAGCAAGAGGACAGCAATTAACAACCACCGAACAAAAACAGAGAATGTAAGGGCACAAAATAAATACACAGGTGCATACAACCAATTGAAAAGGAGCATTCGAGATAACATGCAGAAATAAATGGAAGACCTATCAACGACAGTGGATGAAACTGTAAGAGAAGGAAATATCAGACAAAACGACAAAACGAAGATATTGCCAGGGAAATATGGTGAACCAAAGAGACCGTTCAACGACGAAAAGGCTAGGATTATTAATAAGAAACAAGAACGGAGGAACAGATGGGTAGAATACCTCGAGAAACATGCCTCACTTTCTAATCAGGAAGATTTGGGTAGTAAAAAGTGCCTGTGGACTGGTAACAAGAATACCTCATCAAGGCAACAAAAGAATGAGATCTGAGAAAATGTGCACATCACTATCGGTACCAGGAAATATTGTCAACAGAAAGTTTTTGAACCGAACTAAAAACTCAGTAAACGCCCAACTTCGCTAGTGTACAGACCAAGTCGGAATATTACGGATCACTGTTGAGTGATTTTCTTGATTATGAGAAAGTGCTTGAAAGTGTGGACACGAGAATATCATTGAATCTTTCCCGACACTATGAAGTGAGTAGATGAGAATATCGTCAACATTATACGGAATTCATACGCTAGACTACACTGCTAAGTGGTTCATGGAGGACAGCTGCCAGACGCATTGCATGTGAGGACTGTACTCAAATAAGACTACTTTCTACCCCATCTCTTCGTCTTCTGCTGGTCGATAGGATTATGAAGACCTCAAAATCTGAGCGGAAGCACACAATAAAATAGACTAGTTGGGTGCAACTAAACGATATCAATATCAAATTCACAATTTTCAATACGAACGTCAAAACAGTCCTACTGTACAGATCTAAAACTTGGAGAACTACCACAACCATCATCAAAAATGTTGTTAGTTATGTCCATAACTAACCAATCAAATCGTCGTTTAAGCGCTCACCACGTTGATCTGGTCTGATGGGTCTGTAAACTATCCCTCTTGCATGTGACCTACCGATTGAAAGACGTTATTATCTTATAATAATAAAGTGATCCTTAATTTTATTCATTTCGATAAGGCACGTAATACTGGTTGGTTGTTTGTGTATTTCACTTGATAACTGTAGTTTCATTAATTATTGTACTAATCTAATTGTTTTACGTTCAGAAACAGATAAAGTTCGCATAGACTCTGTGCTCGCCAGCATCGCCTTTACGGTTCTGGTAGTATATCTGTAAGACAAATCAAATCCTACAGAAGTACATGTATTTCTGAACAGTTGTCTACGTAAGATACTTAATGTCCGTTGACTTGGTACCATCAACAAATATCCTACTATGAGAGAGAACAAACCAACTCAAAGCTCATGAAGAAATTAGGAGAAGGGGTTAGAAGTAGATAGGATACATGTTGAGGAAATAATCAAAGTGCCAATTTGGAATCTTGAGAAGAAACGGAAATAAGGAAGGCCAAAGAATTGTAATTGAACAGGAAAATGATGAATAGTGACTGGAAGGAACTGGAAATACCTGTTTAGAACAGAGTTGGATTGGGCATGCTGGCGAGAGATATGTGCTCCTCCATCATGTGTAGCAGGTGTAAGTGCATATATATTTCATGTTCGTAATCAAAACATTTCTATTCGAAATAAGGTTTTATCATCACTCGCCCTATATTGGTCGGTGGTATGAGTGTGAGTTATTAGCCGAACTATCAATAAGTCCTTTCTTTCATAAACAATTTTCTAATCGCTTCCAAATTCGTTCTGCATATTCTCATAATCCGCCTTTTGATTCTCACATAACTACTGTAGTACTAAACTTTCATAAAATGATTTTGCTAGCTGTTCTAATGAAGCCACTGTCTAATTTTTAGAATAATTACCTAGATTATTAACTTTGTTTTGCTTCCAATTACTCAATATTATTTCGTAATCAACGTGACGTTATATAATTGTTACGTAAGCCAACTACTTGATGAGAATTACCTCATTTCTGTACATAATCCAGTATAGTCATGGTGGAAAATTATTTGATTAGAAAATCCTTCACTTCATCCAATCCTTTTGCCGAGTCTACCATGTGTTCACTTGTTTGAATAACTGAGAGCAAATAAAAATACTTTTTCTTGTTATGAGCTGTAAAAGCACTTATCGATGCGACTTATTAATAAATTGATGAGTCTACCATATTCGGAATGAATGCCTTTTCTCTTTTTCAAGAGTTGAGAGACAAACGGAGAAAGTCTGTAGTATGAACGAAAGCCCCCTGATAAATGTAGTTCATCCATTTCAATGAATCAGAAGCCTCTTAGTAACTCTTGTTAAGTTCTGATCGTTTAAGTAAAATTCACTTGGATGGACATAACAATTAATTGTTGCAAGTCGTTTCATGTACACATTATAATAGAAATCCAGGATATACAATATGTATCAAAACTCAAGGTGTGATTCACTTCAGCTTACCTTTATGAGTTTTCGGTTCAGGTATTACACATCTTGTGTTTGTTAACACTGTTTAATTAGAAAAGTTTAAATTTAAGCTCATTATTTTACACGTTAATCAAACACTTCCCCAATGAAAGAGATGGTCATCATTTGTAGGCAGTCAGATTCAATTACTGTTCATGTGAGCCAAAATACATGTTTTCAAAGTAAAAACACGATTATAGCGTCAAATCCTGTCACTTCATATTGAAAAGAGCTCAGATCACTTCCATATAGCTACTTAACATTCATCATAAAGCGAGAATTATCTCAGCATTCAGTCGTGTAAAATATTCATGTTCATGAGCAACTGATAATTTAGCAATTGGTTCAGACTTTCCAAACAAACACTGATTTCATGCCTCCCAGTAAACATCATTCCTTAAATGAATAATTTCCATTTCAACCTCATCTTCAAGTTGTTTGGATAAAGACGCTTCTCAGCGCAATTATCTGTTAGTTCATATATCTGATGCACAGATATGCCGCCTTCTTCAATACTATAGTACTATCAACTGAATATATTTACAAAATAACATTGATTTGAATGCTACTTTCGAATTACATTTCCAGGTTGATAAACGGGATCACACTCTTTTCTATCACTCTGAAAAACTATCAAGTTATCATTTGGGATATGTTGACTGTTGAGCAGTCGGATTATACAAATTACACATAAATTGTCTGTCATTCAATTCGTATTCATACTTCAAGTAGTGGAACTACTACTGAATGAAAGTACCACACTCGGATGTTACGCAGTAAACTAGGAATGGAATATGTTATCGGTACTCATGAAGTCATATGTTCGTAGTTTCACAATTTAAGATTTGATTTACACCCCGAGTTCATAGAATTTTCAGTACAAAATGTTTATTGATTGTGCGTGTTATCCATCTCTCAATTAAACAGTCCGTTCGTGTGCAATTTTTATTATGAATTTGAAATGGTGAGGAGCGAGTAAATTTCATGACCTATCACTTACGTAGATTTAGCTACTCAACTAACAGAAAGAATGAGCATCTGAGAGTGACATGAATTTCTGAGGAATGATGTTACAAGAAGCTAAAATTATTTACTTTCAAACATGTCGTCAGGTCATGTTATTTCGAAAACAAAGGAACCGTTAAATTACAACATTTAACTAAATAGTTATGAATAGCAACTCTTACCGTTATATTTGGATATTTTCGTGTTGATACACTGGTGTAGAGTCGACGATTCCGGCACTTTTATTTCTACATGTACCAGAATTAAGTAATAAATAGACTTCATAATAAGTCATGTACAAGTTTACATAGATATCATTCTCTATGATATATCAGACTGAAAATAGATTTTATTCACCAATAATACGTTTATACATTGTTTGAATATGGAATTAATAAACTGAAATATATAACACATTTTGGTCAAATAATTGACTGGGATTAAACAAATAAATCAGTAATCCAAATACATACTGTATGAGTTGATGTCAGATATTACGTCCTGTAACTCTAAAATATTTCAAGGAAAATCAATATCACAATTGTGTATGGAAATAGTGCATTTGTTTCAACTTAAAATAGGTGTAATAGACCAGTTTGGAAATCTACGATTTGAATATGTTTAAATGATTCGTAGTAACTAGTAACCAGTGTATTGGCTTTGTCAACGTCTCAAATTACTACAATAGATTTTCATCTATTTTTGAAATTTATCAAACAGTAGAATCCGGGATACGCGACCGGAATCATCTGGACTCGTCAACTGGATGTTGCTTCGTTTCAATTCTGACGTTGACACTTAAACTCTGACTGCATATTTGTTTCCAGATGAAGTAGGTAGATGATTGGAAACTGATACGTATGAAAATTATCACGATCTGACCACATACATTATCATTATCATCATCATCATCCAATCATCAAATGATAACGAACAGTGTTCTTCGGAAAAGTATATGCATATCTACTGTATAATCATTCAGATAATTAGTTTATTAAAGTTATCGTAAATTTTTATTTCTGTCTCCATCAAACACTGAGTGTATCAGATAAAAGTGTCGCATTTTATGAATCCTAATAAGATGAGAAATACAAACATGCTGGAATAATAAGAGTTTATTTACTTCACTCAGTCTGCTCATCTCTTCTCAGTCTAGTCTGAATGTGGTGCGTCAGTCATTAAGGGAATTTCTTATTCCTAAACTATGTTGTACGATTAGTACACATTAAAAGTGCGCACGATTAGCTCATCGAAAGCAAACCCTTCATTTTATCAAATCTGAAACAGCATATTTGGAAAGGTTTTCACACACCTTGTGTTATTTCTGGCATCCAGTACTGTTTAGTAGCAAGTTTCATGCAGTTCACATCTACAATTCATCAATGTGATTAATGCACTATCATTCCATTTACATACATTTAGCGACATTTTCACGATCATTTAAGAACTTCTTGACAAACGAATCTAAAATTTATGATAAACGGTGAATATCTAGTTATCACGCTGCATCAGTGAATATTAAGTCAAAACCGTACAAATTGTTTTATTAAATGTTTTACAAAATAAAGATAAAAATGATACTTTATCACGTCAATATATTAACTACCGCCAACACGTTGTGTTAATGAGGTGTGGCAACGTGAAAGAAGCAAATATGTGCCTGGTTCTGCGTTGTAGCAGACTGACTACCCGATATAAATATACTATCGTCAGGCGAAAATAGTCAAAAGGAAATCAACCTTACATATCGTTGAATATCGCATGGCTAATTTAACATGTTCTGACTGTTTCACATTTGCTAATTTGAAAGAGGTAAGTTGATTTATTCACTGAACATGTGTCCAGGTAGTCGTCGCAACCTACCATTAGAATTTCACTGTTCATCTTAATCACTAGTGCATTCCACATATTGTGATGTGTACAATCAACAAACAACTACAATACAATGTTTATCGAAATCAGCTTATAAATATGAAATATCTATTCTGAGAAATGCAACATGTTATTAACAAGAATGAATTCGTGAATAAATTACTTATTTGTTCCTCTATTTCATTGTTAAATCTGGATAGAACCAATTCATCTCTCTTCAAATTATCTAACAATTGAACACAAGATACAGTTGAAATAGACAGTGATTACTCAAATGAAAAGTGTGCAAGTTCAAACAGGTGAATGTACGTACATAATGTCTCTCAAGAGATTCAAACATGGTTAGAAGTTAAAATGCGAACAGTAAAAACTGGACACTTTGCACAAATGCAAAGATCATACGATCCAAGCAAACTATCGACACACTATCTATCGACACATCTATCTATCTATTTATCCACTTTTCTATCTATCTATCTATCAATCTATCTATCTATCTATCTATCTATCTATCTATCTATCTATCTATCTATCTATCTATCTATCTATCTATCTATCTATCTATCTATCTATCTATCTATCTATCTATCTATCTATCTATCTATCTATCTATCTATCTATCTATCTATCTATCTATCTATCTATCTATCTATCTATCTATCTATCTATCTATCTATCTATCTATCTATCTATCTATCTATCTATCTATCTATCTATCTATCTATCTATCTATCTATCTATCTATCTATCTATCTATCTATCTATCTATCTATCTATCTATCTATCTATCTATCTATCTATCTATCTATCTATCTATTCACACATCCGTCTATCTGTTTATCTCTCTCTATCTATCTCTGTCTGCACGCATTGTCGAGTCACCTCGACTGGTTGCCACAATGCAACATGATCGATAGCATTCGATGTGCATTAATAAGGACTAGACATGCATGATATTGATCCGCCACTCAGTGATCAATCGATCGTGATTATCTATCTATGTATTGTCTGTCTCTCAATCTAATTATCTATCTAGCAGTCCGTTTATATTTTCATTCATCTGTCTGTCTATTGATCCAAGGATCTTTATATTTTTCTGTGTGTCTGTATGTGTAACTACCTTTAGTTATTTTTATATTTGCTTCTGTATCTGTCTATCCATTACAAATACTGTACTGATATCTATATATGAAGACAGTTCTTCAATTTCATAATTTGCTCGAATCGTCGTTTTATACATGCCCACTCTCTTCAGACATTCCTCTAATCCTTAATTGTATTCCATCAAATTCAGTCTGTTCAAATATCTGGTTTAGGTGTGTTCGTTCTGAGTTATAGAAATATTTAAATTCAGCATTTTAAGTGAATTAAGTTCATGAAATTAAGGGACGATTCCAATTATTCGAATTGTAATTGACTTCGTATATTCACTGAATAGACGTTTATTTAATTGTTACTAGAAGTGAATGGGAGCAATGAATCACAATGATGGAGAATGAACTCAATGAGAACGAAAACTACGTATTTGAGGCTTGAATGCTCATTTGTGTATGCAATTTGCTCATTCACATATGATAACCAAGAGTATGAAATACTTATGAATGTACAACACAGTTACCTGTTAATCTTTGTAAACTGCCCTTAAAATCGTCCAAACTATATGGTTTTGCACCAACTACAATTTGAACATAATTAAGTTTAGTTCAAAGTGCAAACAAATACACGAAGTGACACGATCATAATAGATGTTGTTCTTCGTTTTACGTTTGATCGTTTACGAAAACGTAATACAACACAATCTGCAATTATGTCGATCGAGTAAGTCGTTTACAATATTTCTGATAATTTGTAAAATCACGGAACATTAACAAGATGTAAACTATGTTGGTATTATTAACCAATTCACATCGTAATACACGGCCACCCGATATTGTTTACACACCAACAGGATGATCAGCGTACCTTTCCAAATTTAATCATCACATAAACACCTTCACTTTCATGTTAAGCTAATTCGTTCTGTTTCAGCTAAACCTTGGTCATCTTATAAAACTAACTGTACTTGAAACCAATCGGATGAACTCAGATGTCACATCCTCAGACGTCGAAATCTTGAAACAATCCTTACATCGGTTAAGTAGAAGTTTTATAACAATTCACTCGACTTTACGGTTCTATTGGTCTTGAATATTTGTCTGATGTCTTAATAGACTTTTTCAAGAGAACACTTCCTTCTAAACTTCCATTATCAATGAAAAATGCCTAGAGGCATGTGAATGTTAACTGAAATACATCGACAAGTATTTGATTTGTTTGAACTCAAATATCGACAATTTCATTCAGTCAAATTTTTTTTAAAATTGACAAACTTTGTACACCATAAACATCGACACAATTCACCGAAGATTTTGTAATTACTATGTACATGAAATGATAATGACAAATGTTGAAAGACTTACCAACTTTCATGGAGGCACATAGAAGTAAAGGCAACACGTTTATGTGAAATAATATCAAATGCTTCATCCTTACTATAACTGTTCTTTTGAATTTTTATTCTTTATATATTGCCACCAATCGTTGAAAATCTAATATGAAAAATGATTTGCTTAGTGTCAACAAACACAATGAAAAAGAAACTCAGATCTATTTAAAAATATGTGGAATTCACAGCGTTTTAGTGGTGTGATATTGCATAGACCTTCAATCACCACCGAGTTCAATTCTGTCAAGTGTGTATATACATTTTTAACAGACAACATCATTATTTACAATCACATGTGCGTCAATTTGATGGACTTGAAATAAATTTGACAAAGGAAGTAAAATATTAAAATTAAAATATAATTAATAGTTTCACATTTAAAATTTATCAACAAAATAGATTTTGTGAAAGTACCAAGTGAACGGTGTAAAGCTGTATTTATTACTAAACCTATTACAATAACCACTAAAAAACTGCCAATATTGTGGCCCCTTCTACCCGAATTCCGCCTATCATGCTGTACCAAAATGATCAGTTCGAATTCACAAACGGTTTCACAAAGAAATTGTAAAGCGTAGTATCAAAGACTCTCTTAAATTTGTGGATAGCATAAAAACTCTATCGGTGATATAATTAGATGTATTGTCTTTATTCAGTATCATTCCACTATTGGAAACATTGTATTTGATTTGTAGTGAACTAATAGAGAGCCATATACAAACTTTAATTTTCGTATCTGCAATGAAACATTTAGCTCTTAATTGTCTGAAAATGTCCAAGTCCTAATTAGTAATGAATACCATCGACTACTGAATGGTGTAGCCATTTGGTCACCATTGTGCTCTGTCCTGGCACACTGCTTTTTCTAAAAACTTGAAAATGGACCAATTAAGCACATAGTCATCCATATAACATCTTTCTATCACTGCGTAGATAATACCTTAATCGAATTGGAAAAAAAGAATATGAGAAGGATAATTTACTTAATATATTTGACAAAATTCATTTATCTATTACTTTACATTTCAGAAAGAACAGAGCAATGGCATATCGTTTCTAGATATCCAACTAACAAGTGGAGTAGGTGAAACATCAAAAAGAGGGATAGACTGAAAATCTGTAGTTGAACGGTATACTCATTTCTATAGTGCTGTACCAGTCGGATATAGAAGAAACTCAGTATAAATTCTGGCTGATAGTGCTAGAATGATCGGCTCAGTCGACACCGTTGTATATGAATTGAGTAACATTGTGACCTGCATAATAACAATAGATATCCAACGAAATTCACGAACAAACACATGAGTGCGATGAGATGATCAAATGTATCTACGGTTCCGAATAATCACAATTCCTTAACGATGTTATCAAGGACTTTGTAACCCGGAAGTTAAGAAATGAGAAGCAGATAATATTTACTTCAGCCAAATTGAATGTTGTCTTGCGTAACCGCCCGACAATGAAAGCAAACATTGAAGACAGACCATTTAGATTTACCAAATCCATGTTTACTTACCAATTCAACTACTCATGTTGAACCATTTACATATGGCGTACATTTAGGCCAGTCCGTCATCATGTATCAGAACACCGTCATGGTTGATTAAATGACAGGTAAGAGTGATTAGTAGTTCTTTTACTGCTCATTTTGCGGATGCGAGACATTACGTTGACTTGAAAGAAATTTTTAAGATGATTCACCATCTTCCATTAAATTAACCACATGATTTACGGGTTTGTCTGTTGCGGTTACTGAAATCTTCCTGTAGCTATTCTAAAGTTACTGCCGGTCTCAAGACTACACAAAGTGGGAGGGTTAGAGGTAAGGTCGGCAATTCCACTCCGTAGAAAACAACCTTGTTTATAAAACACTAATCAGAATAAACAATATGAACACCATGCAGAATTCATACGACGGACTACACTGCAAAGTGGTCTACGAGGATAGCTGACAGGCGCGTTGCCAGTGGGGACTGGGGTCAGATACGGAATCTTTCTCACCCCCTTTCTCTTCTGATGTTTGACAGGATTATGAAGGCCTGGATATCGGAGGGGAGCACGGAGCACAGCAATCGTCTACTCAAAATACTTCAGATCCATTGGCCGAAAACTATTAGCAACAACGTACTGTGGGAGAGAACAAACCAGATCCCAGCGAAGGAAGAAATCAGAAAGAAGCGCTGGAAGTTGATAGGACACACATTGAGGAAAGCACCGAACTGCGTCACAAGCCCTCACATGGAATCCTCAAAGCCAAAGGAAACGAGGAAGACCAAAGAACACATTACGCCGGGAAATGGAGATAGACATGAGAAAAATGAACAAGAATTGGATGGAACTAGAAAAGAAGGCCTAGGACAGAGTGGGTTGGA